TTTTTTTTTTGGCGGTAACCATAATGGTGGTCGAGCAGATCATGTTGTGCGGGGTGGAGAACTCTCAATCCGCGCGAGGGGAATGATCGCACCACGTTGTGTTAAGTTGGTCACGCACCCTCGAGGCAGTTACACAGTGCTTACAACTGTCTCTGGAAGTGAAAGCACCAGAAAATAAATTAATTCATACGCAGCTGTCATCCGTACGCAAGGAAGTAAGCACAAGATGCCGAACACCCTTAGCAGGATGCAGCGCACCCTTCATGCGACTCGCCGAATATCTCACGGCGCTTCGCGCTTGGTGATGTGAGAGCCTGGTCCGGTGAGAACCCGGCGTGCTCCGTCCCGGCTTTGTAGGGATGCGAGGTCAATGGTCTAACGACTACGGCATGCACGACTATGAGTATGAGTTTACCCCCACACACACGCTGTAGCTGATCTTCTTTCCTGCTTTTTTTCTTCTTTTTGTTTTGGCCCTCCGGTCCGATGTCCGTGGGTCAAATGTCGCATCTTTATCTTCTCAGATGAACCTTCTTTCAGTTCGGTGTATAAATAGATCTGCCGTTCCCACTGTCGACCTGCTGCGACTACCACAGCAGCATGTATCTTTGGTTTCTTTTTTTGGCGTTTCCTCCGCAGTTGTACTTTGGCTCACATGTTCCTTCCGTGCGTGGCAGATTGGTCGAGCTGGCGCAGGAAAGCTACGCTGACGAGATCGAGGCGACGAAGCGCATGGACAACATCGTAGATCTGAGGAACCCTCAGCAAGGATTCCCGCTCGCGAGGCTGAGAAAACGCCGCATCATTTACCACGGAGGTACGTGCAAGAGCAGCGGCTCCGCGGTAAGAATGTACATTCACCTCCCACCCATCTCTCTCGTGCAACAAACAGCGAGCCCCCCCTCCCGCTCCCCGACGTCCTTGCGCCCCTACCCACCCTCCGCCTGACACCTATGCCACCATTCCTATATTAAACAGTTTTTGTTTTACGGCGAGACCGCCACTATTGACGTGCGCGTGGCACGACCGCAGTACAGCAGTAGTAACGCCTGCCCCACCATACACACACAAAATACAAAACGCCGTTTTTATGCGTAGGACCAACCAACTCCGGCAAGACGTACCAAGCGATCGAGCGCCTCAAGAAGGCCGGCGCCAACAGGCAGCCGGGGGACGGGCCGGCGGGACTGTTCTGCGGGCCGCTTCGGCTGCTGGCGCTGGAGGTGTACGAGCAGGTGCGGCGAGCTCGATGTGGTTGTTGTTGTTGCTGCTGCTGCTGCTGCTGTTGCTGGGTTAATATTTTGGTTTGTTGTTGCTGGTGGTGTTCAGCGTGCATATTGGTGTTATTGGTGTTATCGTTAATGGTGTTGGTGCCGTCCTGTTTCCTTTGCCGTAGTATGTACCTCTTGTCGCAATAATGAGCTACATAGGTATTTCATGGACCCCTAGCGTGACAAAACGTTTTGTGTTTTTCATGCACCCCCCCAACTCGGCAACCAGGTTACCGTTTTTTTTTTTACCTCCGTTTTTTTTTTTTTGGCGGTAACCATAATGGTGGTCGAGTAGATCATGTTGTGCGGGGTGGAGAACCCTCGCTCCGCGCAAGGGGGATGATCGCACCACGTTGTGTTAAAATGGTCAAGCACCCTCGAGGCAGTTACACAGTGCTTACAACTGTCTCTGGAAGTGAAAGCACCAGAAAATAAATTAATTCATACGCAGCTGTCATCCGTACGCAAGGAAGTAAGCACAAGATGCCGAACACCCTTAGCAGGATGCAGCGCACCCTTCATGCGACTCGCCGAATATCTCACGGCGCTTCGCGCTTGGTGATGTGAGAGCCTGGTCCGGTGAGAACCCGGCGTGCTCCGTCCCGGCTTTGTAGGGATGCGAGGTCAATGGTCTAACGACTACGGCATGCACGACTATGAGTACACCACCCCTCCCCCTGCCATCTACGAACAGCTGAACAGCCAGGGGGTATACTGCAGCCTCATGACGGGGCAAGAGAAGCGAGAGGTTCCTTTCGCCACCCACGTCTCCTGCACGATCGAGATGGCTTCGACCGTCAACGAGTATGAGGTGGCCGTGATTGACGAGATACAGATGCTGGCGGACGAGCAGCGGGGGCCAAGTTGGACATCGGTGAGACCCCGCCGGTACATGTAGCTTCTCGAAAGCGTGGGAAACGTGAAGTAAAACGTAAGATACAGTGGTATGTAGACATGAGGCGGCGGGGCCCAAGCTGGACATAGGGGAGACGCCGCTGACTCTTTGCTTCTCAAAAACATGTAAAACGGGAGAAACAAAAAACACATTCCTAATTTGTCCTGGACCCTTGTGTACGGATAGATAGAGATGCATTCGTTATGGTATGTTAAGACAAGAAAGCGCAAAACGAATAATGGAGACGAGGCAGCCAGCCCCAAGCTGGACGTGGATGAGATACTACGGGCAGGCGGGCGACGTTACAGATCGTTGTTAGCTTCTCGCAAACGTGGAAAAGTGACAAACAACAACTGCAAACTGCACATGGTGAGATGCTGCAGGCGTGTCGTACCTCGGGGACCGATGTTAGCTTGTCGAAAAAAAAAAACATGGACAAGTGAGAAGAAAACAATGACGTAGAACGCGCGAGCGCAACGTAAGATGACAGAGACGGGGTCGGTCACCTTTGGTTGCGACACTTCTTGCTATTGGCTTCCTTTTATGTCTTTGTTTTTCAAAGCTCATGCCTGGAGCGTTTGAAGTCAATCGCACTGCCCGACCCGCGCGGCGTTCTTTGCGAAACTCCGAAGGCTGTTCTTGGCCTCAACTGTCCGGAGATACACGTCTGCGGGGGGATGGAGGGAGCAGTCCTAGTGGAGGCCATGGCGAAGGAGGTGAGAGTGTCCGGATTAGACTCTAGTGAAGGTTGAGCTCGAGTGTAGGGTTTGTTTTTGTTGGAAATAGACTTGTCTTGGAGTTATCGTTGGCACGAAGCGAGCGCTTTCAACCCATGGCCAAGGAAGTGAGAGAGTCTCAATTTAGCCCGTTTTGGGTTAAGTCATGAGTGTTGCATTTGTTTTTTGTTGTAATTGGGTTCTTGTGAGGGTCATAGTTGGGACGAAGGGAGCAGACCAGGTCCAACCTGTGCTGTCATGTACGGCCAATACAAACTTAGGCCAATTCGGTTGTGGTTGTTATTGTTTTCACCTAGTTTCAAGTCAGTCAGGTAGTTTGGGGAGTTTGGTAGAAGGCGTCAGGCTTTCCGCGTCGAAGAAATCCACGTAGAAGGGGAAACTAGGGACATCGTGGGTGTATGGAAGGAGGAAGGGGATCGAGTCCCAGCCCAGGTACAGTAATATATTGAGGGCGGAGAGCGACAGGGAGAATCTAATGCTGCAGGGTAGAATGATCGAACATGTCAAATTGGCCGCAGTTGACTTTACGTGCACAATGGCCAGGCTGGATCGCTTAACGAGTAGGAGGGAACAAACAACGCTTTCCCTTCTTGGCATATCTTTTTTTTTTATATGTTGTTCCGCTTTTTTCGGGTTCAAGATCAAGGAATAAGATCCGTCTACGAGAGTTTAAAACGACTGGATCTTGTATGTTATGGCGGACTTCAACGAGCCGAACGCTGTAGGTTTGGTTGACCGTTCTTGCGAATTCTGCTACTGCTGCTCGTGCTGCTGCTGCTACGCGCATGGTGTTCTTCTTGTCCGAAACTTGAACGTCCCGTGCGCCTGCCGTTGCTACTCTGCTGTACGCTGGGCAGACGGGGGATGATTTCGAGTTGAGGGAGTACCAGCGCAAGACCGAGCTTGTGTGTGCAGAAGAAAGCCTAGGCAACAACTACAAAAACATCCAACCAGGCGAGAAATAGAAGAATATCGATAAATAGGTTTAGATGTAGGAAATGAGAGGTAGCGAGAGGGCAGAAATAGATGGAGAGGTAGGGTCAGAGAGATAGTTGCACAGAGACAAAGGTGAACGAACGATAGGTGAAGAGAGACAGAGAGACAGGTGGGCAGAAGGAGAGAAAGCGAGAGAGATTGGCGGACACACAAAACGGAGAGACAGAGACAGAGACAGAGACAGAGACAGAGACAAGATATGTGGAGAGGAAGAAACGGCGTGGTGATGTTTTGAGATATGATTGACGTCACTGCGGCGTTGTTTCGTCGTTCACGCAAGAGACAAGAGACGGGTTGGCGAAAATCCTAAAGGCCAGAAGCACACCGCGAAACCAGGGTGATAAATGTTTTCTTCGTTTTTCAAACTCACGTGCATGCACAGCCCGTTTTTGCTGAGGTTTTCAGTAAGAGACAAGCTGCAGCAGTACTGCTGTGCAACGGTCCAGCAACGAGTCGGAGGTTGCTTTGATTTCTGAGTGCTTGCAGCTCCACAACCGTATGGGTGGGTCTCGAAACATCCGTTGCGGGACTAGCTGTTGGGTACTTCTAGTATAATGATATTGAATGTTCCTCTTATTGTATTTCTTTATGTTTCCATGATCAAGATGTTCTCCGCACTACTGTTGCTCAGGATGGTCTCCGCACTGCTGTTACAAGTGATATGGTTTGCTTTTTGAGAATGTTGGCGCAGACAGCAAGTGGGGATCAGACATACTTCGCTGCTGATGTGTTGCACGTTGGTCTAATCGAACTCAACTCAAACTTCACTCGTTGCCGATGCTTTCAGGCGATGCCGTCGTAGCCTTCAGCCGCAAGGACATCTTCAGCATCAAGAAAGAGATCGAGAGCAAGACTCCTCACAAGTGCTGCGTCATCTACGGCTCGCTGCCGCAGGAGACTCGAGCCCATCAGGTGGGTACGTGAACGGTAACCGAAGCAGCCCAAAACCGTTCGATTCCGTAACTGCTGTAGCTGGAGCCTGCATCCCAGGTGGCTCCATATGCCGCCACCACCCCCCCGAGGTTCGATTTGTCAACTTGAGCTCGAGTTTGTTTCTCCATTTTTTTTTCCCCCGCAACTGTAACAGAGCCTGTAATTGGGAAGCTTTTTCGACAACAGGGCATGGTCCAGAAAAAAAAAAAGGGTAAAAATGGGTGTCGACATGTCGCCAGTTTTCGCGAACTGAGACCCTTGAACTATTGCACTGCTGTGCGATTGCGGTGATTTAAGGAGCATGTTTCGGAGTTGCTATGCGGTATGTTTGTTTGTAACGAAGCGGTGTCTCGTGTTGCCTTCGTCCAAGCCGGACGACCGTACTACTGCAGGCTACGTAAGATATTACACCTCCTGGAGCGATTTTTAAAGCCCGATTGTCTCCGCGACAAAGATATGTAGTTCAGAAATGAAATCAGGCGTTTTCGGAACGCTCTCGACAAGGCGATATTTTCCAACGCCACTGTTGTTGCTGCAGAGTAATAATAGTCGAGGTTTGATGATCGGTGTAGGGGGGTGTTATCTTACGAAACCCGGTACAATGGTTGTTTACTTATTCTCTGTCTGTCTGCAGCTACTGCTGCTGTGAAGCTTACCGTCGGACGCTGTTATTCTTTCTTCGACTTCGCGTACGCGTATGTATGCTGTACTCCGGACTATACATACATGAATCGGTGTACTTGTTCCCTGATTCACTCGGGGTTTTTTTCAGTCACCCGTCTTCCTTTTCGCAGCTGGTGCTGCGGTCCGCATCCTGTTGCCGCTTTTTCGAAGTGTTGGTGTTTTCAACATTCCAAGTGCGTACATGTACAGAGCGCGAGAGAGGTGCACCCAGCTACAATTTCTCTTAATGTTTGCCTTCCTCAAGTTTTTCGATGTAGTTTTCAAACTACGTATTGGTGACGAAAATAAACATCAACAGACGAAAATAATGTTACGGTATCAACAACTCTTCGTTACTTGCGCCATTTGTTTTTATTTTCGTTTTTTAACTGCGAAGGCCCGCTTGTTCAACTCGGAAGAAACCGGCTACGACGTTCTTGTGGCAAGCGATGCTATCGGTATGGGTCTCAACCTCAACATCCGAAGGTGACCAAACGACCATGAGACGGCGATACGATGCATCCAGCAGGCGTACGTATCCCAGATTTTTTTTGTTTCAAGATAACGCGGAAAAGTGAAAAAGTGTCCAGGTGATGTGAAAAAAATTACGGTTCCGGAGGGCATCGAACCCTCGACCTCGCGATTAACAGTCGCACGCTCTGCCACTGAGCTACGGAACCCTTACAGTGCACGATGTTGATAAGGTAGAATTTTCTACTTGTCAATCAGGGAGGGTGGGATATCACGGATGTGTGGAACCGTTACGTCTTCCCTTCCTACCACTCGCTTCTTGAACATATTTAAGGTCATTGCCAGGAACCAGGGGCACATCGGCGGGACGCTCACCGTAACGTAGAAACTCAACATTCCTCGTCATACACATGGGATCGGTCAGGGGTTCCGTAGCTCAGTGGCAGAGCGTGCGACTGTTAATCGCGAGGTCGAGGGTTCGATGCCCTCCGGAACCGTCTGCACATGTTGTTTTTTGCCGAAGCGCCGAAGGAGTCTGATGTGATCCATCTTCTAAATATAACAACTCGTTTCGATTCCTGCATCACCTTGTTCATAATTGAAGTTCGAGTTAGTTACGGGGTTCTGAGGGTTTGACACCCTCCGGAAACCGAGCAAGAAGAGGGTGCTTCTTCCCCTGTCTATTTATTTATTGTTCCTCCGTGTCATTTGCTGAACGGAATCCCCAAACTTTTGAGTCTACTGGTCATGTCTATTACCTTTGTTTTCTCCCCTCTGACACCACGCCCCCTCTCCAAGAGACCCGGCAGGCTGCAATCCTGCAATCCAAGCCGAATTGCTACTTCCCCCAGTGCTCATATCCCCGTGTGGCTTATATAGGGTAAAGTTTTGGGGTGCCACTTGGGGTTGGCAACAAAAATGTCCCCGGATTCAAGTATATGGGACTTACATGGCGCGCCTGCGGAGTGGGCTCATGAGAGCATAGTAGTAGCACAGCAGTAGTGCCATCAGACGTGATGCAAGATGAAAGGAAAGCATGTGTTGTTGGTGTGAATCAGCTGCCAGCTGCCATCAGTGACGTTTCCGAAGCTCGAAGAGCTCACACAAGATGACGTGTTTTGACTCGAACAGCCCAGGGAACCTCAACGAACCAACAAGAACAATATTCGTTATGCATCTGTGCCCACTCTCTCTGGTGTGAGCATCCCCCCCTCCGATTGACATTTTGATTGTTATACAATCGTGAGGTACATTAGTTGCAGAAGGCTTGAGTTGCAGCCTGCGGTCCTCGCCAGCCCCTGTTGCTTCTATTCTACGTTCCTCATATGCATAAAAGAGTTTTGTATTGTAGCCTCGTTTGTCTTGTCTTGAGCGGCTGATCCGTCGGTCTCCGTAGCGAACGGTAGCGATTTGGTGTTGATCAATTGTCTCATGGCGTCATCAGCAATAGCAACAACGATCGAAGGGTCGTCAACAACATTAACAACAACAAAAAATCTTGCTGACACATGTATTCACCCTGCACATAGAAGCCAAAATCAAACCATTTGACTGTTTGATTTTGGCTTCTAGTCTATATGCTGCACGTCATTGATGTCCACTGTGCTCGGCGGAGGCCTTACCTCCCTTTTCGGAACTACGCTGAACGAGAGGCCAGCGGCTGAAGCACCCCGGCCCATCTGGTGCCCTCCTCATGCATACGCCGGCACGATTTTTTTAGAAAATGCATGTAAACATTAAAACACAGGAAGACTATGATACCCTTTCGAGGTACTCCATAACCATAGTCGAAAGGGATGTGCTGAGCACTTTTCAGTGAGTGGAGGGACACTGGCTTATTTTTTTTGTGCAAATAGCAGATTCAACCTTCGGTGTAAGAAAAACAACGTCCACCACTGTGGTCTTACGATTCTTCCGGCATGCGTCCATCCTGTTTATTTTCTCGTGACCTCCCGGATGGCACCCGGTGATCAAACACCCGTCGCTGACGACACCATCCGCTGACGTGACGGCCGACTCGATCGTCACCGCGAACAGGGTCGTGTTTCACGCTGTTTCTAAGCGGACCGGCGGTGGGAGAGCCGCCGTCAAGCTGCCCCCGACCATGCTCAAGCAGATTGGTGAGTGAGCTTGAGGTGTCTCGACGAATGTTTGCGTGTGTGTGCCTTTATTGTAGGACGTAATGCACGTTGGGTAAGGGTGTGAATACGAACACGTACTACTATGTGGGCGTTACATCTGATCCATGTCACGTTGTCAATAATTTCGCGACCTTGCGCCTTCTCTGCAATGCGGTGTCGACAACACGTGTGTGCTGTTGAGCGTTCCTTCTGAAATGAGTCATGTTTGTCATTTTTTGCGCGATCATCTGGTTTCTCCGCAATACAGTACGGTGTCAACAAGACGCACTGTTTGTTGGACGTTCCGTCTGTTCCAACTCAGGTTGTCAATTTTTGCGCGACCCTCTGTTTTGCCCGCAATGCGATGTGAATGTGTGAATTGCTCCAACAGGGGGTCGTGCTGGTCGACACGGCAAGCAGTGGGAGTACGGCGAGGTGACCTGCCTAAGGTCTACGGACATGACCTACATGAAGAAGGTGAGGGCTGCCTCGATATACAGCGGTGACATGGAACACAGTGGAGTTTGTTTGGTATGGTGGCCACAAGACAGAGAGACAGGCTGGCGGTCAGCTGGAGAGATAGGGATAGGCAGGCAGGCAGAGAGAGAGGGAGAAAGAGAGAGAGAGAGAGAGAGAGAGAGAGAGAGAGAGAGAGAGAGAGAGAGAGAG